TGTGTGGGGGAAGTTTCTACACACATAATTATGACACTGTTGTTTAGGGGAAATGTCTACAAACATAATTATAACACTGATGTTTTGGGAAAGTGTCTAGAAGACATGGGTCAATTATTTTGAAATATAATGCATTAAATTACAATTACTTTGGAATTTATCATTACCATTACTCTCATTCAGAAAAGTAATTTATTAAATTACAATTACTTTGTTAAAGTAAGAATGACATTACACATTACATTTTATGAGAAAAGCACAAAATGTATGACAACACAATTTATCTATAATAAGATTAACTTTCTCACACTTTGTGCTCGGTCAATATGCTTTCCCTCAGGTCTATAAGTCAGAGTGGTTTTTGATAATTTGGATTCATTTATCATGTTTACGTAGTTTACCAATCTACATTAGACAAAGAAAGTGGATCGGAACACTTTCAATGTTGTAATTTTGTTCAGTCTCTGATGTTAGTTCCTCTGTTTTTATTTAATAAATGATAAACATTTCATTCTATATGTTTTATTTAATGATATTTAATTAACTGACAATATTATTATTGTGAAACGTGTATTAATAATTTAATGAATAAGCACTGGCAATTAGCAGGGCAGGCATAATCAATGATATAAATTTAACACAATCAAAGGTGATAATTACCGGTATCTAGATATAGGGTTTGAAGTCAGAGGTGACTGTCAAGGTACCAAAAATGAATGATGGACAATATCAATATTTACATTTCGCCCTAGTTTCCCTTTGTGTCTTCAAGTAGATCATACTGATCTTGTATCTTGCTTACCAAGTCCATTTCACCAGAATAAACTTTGTGAAAAGAAAAAAAAATCAAATTGACAAATATAGTTTATATTTTAATTGGTAGTTACAGTATATAAATAATGTCACTTGTTTTGTGGCTATCTTTGAAACCTAATGATTTCTTTTAATATTTTTCTGGCTCTCTTCAAATGATCGATTTTACAATTGTCTTGTCAAGAAGTTTTCTACATGTATTAAAACAATTATTTAATATGTGTATCAATCACCATTGAATAAAACGAAATAATTTAATTTTGTTTGTATTCTAGCCTCTGATTGGTTAATATCCAAAAAGGAACACAAATTATTTCTGTATAACCTGGTTTGGTATGGGGACACACCCCCCTGACAACCAGCTGAATCGTCTGTATCCATGCAATCCTCTCATTTCCAGTCCTCGGGATTCATGGAAAATTCCAGATTTAATAAATGTACCTTTAGCTTCAAACAGTAACTCGGATCTTACCACATGTAAACAAAAAACATGGCTGCTAGGACTATGTATCAGTTTTTACCTCCCCTTGCTTCCCATCACTTCCGTTACTAGGGTTGTATTATTGAGCGGCAAATTTGAACTAATAAAAAGCAACGAAATTTTACACCCACAGTTGTTTAATGATTTTAGAATTAAATTATAAGGAATGACTCTAATTCTTGGCCAAATTATTCGAGTATAACCTGGTTTGGGTCAGTTTACGCTGTTTTATAATCCGCTTCGCGGATTATAAAGCGTAAACTGACCCAAACCAGGTTATACTCGAATAATTTGGCCAAGAATTAGAGTCATTCCTAAAATACTTTTGGAAAAAAATGGTAAGATATAAGATTTTAATTTTAAGACTGTAACATTAGAAATAAAAAATAACCTCTCAGTGACCTTAAGGACAGATGATACAAACAAACTTTTATCAAAATATTTGAAAATAACAACTTGAGTCATGTTTACATAAGTAAAATGAACAAATTTAACCGCATTGTTTTGAATTTTTCAATCAAAGTTTCACAATAATGGGATTTAAAGTGACAAAATTTGTATAGAGTAATAAGGATGGTTGCAGATAGGTAGAATTTTCAACATCAAAAAAAATTTACAATTTCTTAATAATTTAGAAATATATTATTTGCATCATGAACAACAAAAATAGGCCCAAAAATATATACCAATCCAGGCATCCATTTTTTGTTTGTATCATCTGTCCTTAATTTATTTCAGATTCAATAATTAAAAGAGATTAAAATACAAACTGTAATTGAAAAATTATTGTCATTACTGAATTTTTTTAAAAGTAATGCATTAAGGAGGAGAAGGACCTTGAGCTGAAAAAATACTTGTCATTCAATTTTTTTCATATTTTGTATATTTCTAATTAAGCATGTCCCACATATTTTAAAGCAGTTATATCATTAGGTTTCTTGCCTTATTTTGGAGATATTCATTGACCAATACTATGCCCTACAGTATCTAAGTGGAGTTTTAGTTCTCCATGTTTCCGGGTTCATAAATCTGTCCATAATGGGATTTTTTAAGCATATATAAAAAATATCAAAGTGGACATGTATGTTTTAAAATATTTCAGAGTATAACTAGGATTTAAAATTCGAAAAAGCAAGTTTTGTCAATCACACTGCATCAGGATAGGGAAAATTACGCACTTTTTAAGACAACTTAAACAGTAAAAAACGTAATTTACAAAAAATCCTATCATTCAATATTTTTTAATTTGCGTTGAAATGCAAATCCTTCAAATTATTGATTAACTGTAAAAATTTCGAATGATGAAGCTGACCTCATTATTTCACAGGACATCGTTAAAGAGGACATAAGCATGACAAAAACGTGCCATGTTACATTTCTCGAGTACGGGAAAAACCAACTATGACGTCACACGTAAGGCAAATAAGCGAAATAAGATATACCTATACAAGATTTCCGTCATCAGCCATGCAAAAATAATTTTTGTGTTCCCCGTTTCTCAAAATATTTCATCAAATACTGATTATGACCTGTTTTTACATAATAATACCGCCCCTGTGTTCACCGAGTATGATCTTGCTGTATAACAGATCGTGTATGACGTCACCGACTTGTTGGACGCGCAGTTTAGGGAAACTGAGGAGTGGATCAATCTTTTTCATAATTTGTTAATGTTTACAAGAATGTTAAAACTTTTTTATTTTTTTTTTATATAAGATGGTAATTAAAATTAAAAAATTGTCAAAAGATTATACAAGAACTGATGCTTTACACGTTTTGCACTTATATAAACGGAGACTATGACGTAGTTAAACAGAGTCATGTGACCATGTGTCCTTCATCCCCTTAATTTATATTACAATTACTTGTAACTGAAAGATGGATCCATTACACATTACATCCCATTACATTGAAAAATGTAATGATTACAATGCACTACCATTACACATTACCGGTGTCTACACACATAATTATAACACTGATGTGTGGGGGTAGTGTTCACATATATAATTATAACTCTGATGTGTGGGGGTAATGTCCACATATATAATTATAACACTGATGTGTGGGGGTAGTGTCCACACACATAATTATAACACTGATGCGTAGGGGTAGTGTCCACATATATAACACTGATGTGTGGGGGTAGTGTCCACATATATAATTATAACACTGATTTGTGGGGGAAACGTCTACACACATAATTATAACACTGATGTGGGGGGGATGTCTAGAGACATAATTATATAACTGATGTGTGGGGGAAACGTCTATAAACATAATTATAACACTGATGTTTGGGGGAAACGTCTATACACATAATCATAACATTGTTGTTTGGGGGGGAATGTCTACACCCATAATTATAACACTGATGCTTGGGGGAAATGTCTACACACAATAATTATAACACTGATGTGTGGGGTAGTGTCTACACATTATTTATAACACTGATGTTTGGGGTAGTGTCTACACACATAATTATAACACTGATGTTTGGGGTAATGTCTACACACAATAATTATAACACTGATGTGTGGGGTAGTGTCTACACATTATTTATAACACTGGTGTGTGGGGGAAATATCTACACACATAATTATAACACTGATGTTTGGGGTAGTGTCTACACACATAATTATAACACTGGTTGGTGGGGGTAGTGTCCACATATATAATTATAACACTGGTGTGTGGGGGTAGTGTCTACACATTATTTATAACACTGATGTGTGGGGGAAATGTCTACACACATATAACACTGATGTATGAGGGATGTGTCTACACATATATAACACTGATGTTTGGGGTAGTGTCTACACACATAATTATAACACTGATGTTTGGGGTAGTGTCTACACACATAATTATAACACTGATGTGTGAAGGAAATGTCTACACACACACACAACACTGATGTGTGGGGGAAGTGTCTACACACTGACACATATATAACACTGATGTGTGGGGGAAGTGTCTACACACATATAACACTGGTATGTGGGGTAGTGTCTGCACACGCATAACACTGATGTGTTTGGGGAAAGTGTCTGTAAAAGAGCTGTAAACTGTATAATTATTGCCTACAGGTGAGAGCTGTCATTGAGGAAAAAATGACTAGCAGATAAAACATACCAAAACTAAAATCAACTTTTTTGCTCTTTGCGGAAAAGGGTGAAGGTTGAAAATCAAAACAAAAACCAAATTAAAATAAAAATCAAAATTCAGTTTCCAGTGTGATTGTATGTGGAGGGGGGGGGGGGGGGGAGGGGTAATTAAAACACACACGCCCCCAGAATAACGGAGAATGCAAAAAAATAAAAAATAAAAAACAAAAACAAAACAAACAAAAAAGGAAACCAAAACTTGAAAAACCTTTTAAGGGAGGAGAGACTTTTTAGGAGGCAAAACTGGAAGAAGAAAACATCCGTGGAGTTGGGGTGGGAAGATCTAGGCTGCCTAGTCTCAGAAAGGGTAGTTACAACAAAAATATGGGGATCAAAGCTTTGAATGTTAATTTCCCCCACTAAACTAATAGCTACGGACCATACTCAACAAAAATAAGTGGGCGTATAGTACGGGACTGCTGTGAAACTGTTCTCACTAACAGTAACGAAAGTAAAATCAGTAGGAGGATCCACTCATTATTTACATGAAATTAAATCTTTTTATCTAGTATTTAATATTGGTGAAACACATTTCTTACCTGGACAAAAACCAGGTAGGGTCAAGACCATTAAACAACAAAACACTAAAACTAGACAGCAAAATCCACAACAACGTCTAACTGATAACTTAACCATTTTAGGAAATACCCGTATAAGAATGAGAGTTGTCGTTCTTCACATATATCTATTATCGGTCCGGTTGCTCGCCAGTGTAAATATAATTTTACAAGTGTAAGGTTCTTGATATGAAGCCTCCAAAATATATCTATTAAAATGGGAAAAAAGTAATTTTTTTTTTTTTTGGGGGGGGGGTGTTTTGATGACAGGAAACTCGTACATTTGTCCTTGATATTTATTTACACATTATTTCGATCCTGGAGACAAAATATGCGGTCGACAGTGTTGTTTTAATTACAGTATAACAAGTATGTAGAATGTATTTATGAATTGCAAACTAAATAAAGCTCAATATCAGGTTTTTGAAAAACCCCAGCATAAAAATAATAAAAAGGAAAGATAGTCTTATTACAAAGCTTTGTCCTAGACAGATTGGATTAAACCGGCGTATCTATTGTTAAAATTTACAGTATATCAAAAAAAAAGTTGAAGGGCTTTGGGAGGTTTTGATCCCCCACCTACTTCGATTTTCCGATTTTTGAATTCGAAATTAATTTTATAGCACAGTATCCAAAAGTACTTAGCTACAAAGAATACTTTCTTTCTTAGATTTATTACATTTTTCAATTTAGATCAACTCAAAACTTAGAGGAGATCAATTTCACTAATTTTGAATTTTAGCATAATCAAGATAATCATTTATTTCTTAAATGTCCAGGAGAAAAAAAAAAGCTTAAACAAAAAAGTTTTAAAACAATTTTATATTGCCACGTAACCGTTGTTCCCCTGGGCCCGAACATAGGACCCCCCCCCCCTTTTTTTTAACTTTATGTGGAGAGATTATTGTTCATCGTAATCATATTTGCCACTTTAAAAGTGTAAATATCAAGTGGTGAGAAAATAAGATTCAGATCAATTTCAAGATATTTTAATTTTTTTAATTTCAATAAAAGAAGAAGGCTTTGATCAAAAGGACAAAATTTTTAGAAGTCAACAGAGGACATACAGCTCGGTAAAGATCATTTGAACGGCATATTAAAGGATACCCAGATCTTTACGAGTCTAATTCGGGTGCATGCGCATGACTTTCCGCAGCTTTTTTTAATTTCATCCAGTCGCAAGTGCGCCATTACATCTTTCCTAAGTATTGTGATACCAATACAAAATTAACATTATCTGTAAAGTCTAGAGTCTAAAAATTGCTTTTAAGATATCAATTAGGAAAAAAACGCTGAAATGGCTCTGTTTTCCGGTTTTGTAAGCAATGCATTACGCTGAAGAATGACGCAGGACTTGCTTGTGTTTTAAAGACTTCCATGGACATTTTACTAAAAACTGTTGACAGAACATCAACAGAAGCATACCAGCAATCTAAACATTGGTTTTTTTTGGGGTTTTTTTTTACCAAAATAATTCATCTGCGCCGATAAGTATACCGCAATATGGCAAATTTAGAGGTATTAGGCACTGAAAAAAAAACTTTGTGATATTCCTAGAACAACCCAGTGAAAATTTCACAGTTTGGTAAATTTTTACAAAAACTTTCATGTATTTAACGAAAAAGAAATCGCTAGGGCAGAAAATATTGGGAAAGTGTGATAATTTGACACTTTTCCAACAAATTCCAAAAGGGTCCATTAGTAAAATTTGACAACTTTTGAGAATTGCCCTCTAAGAAATCGGAATGGTAAACTCTTTAAATAATTAATATAATAGTAAAAATTTATTCATTAAAATTAATCAAAATATCTAGGGTAGAAGTTATTAGACTCGGCCTCGTTAAAAATATATCTTAATTGTAAACATCTCGATTACACGTGTCTCGGACGTTGTCATCTTAATTTGAAAAATATTATGATAAGTTCAAGTAATCAGCCAGTGGCAGGCACGTACACATGTAGCATCGGGGGGGGGGGGGGGGGGCATATATTCTACAGTATTGCAGAAAAAATTTCCACAACGCGCTTACACTGCAACATTAATTCCCATACTAACAACCAAAAAATTGTTTTATTTAATAACCATGATTTACCAGAATATCAGTATTTTTTTCCTTTGGACACCTCATATTAAAGATAAATAAATCTTCATGTGTGACTATCAGTCACATATATTATAGCATGTCAACATTTTTCCGAGTCTTCCATATCATACCTTATATAATATAACTTTATTAAACAAGGAATTTATTTAGTCTTACATTTAGATATATTATGAAACTTCACTATCAATTTTAGAAAAAAAGAAAAGAAAAGAAATTAAACGTACATTTTTTTTTTTTACGAGACATAAAATGTTGAGCGTTTTACAACAATTATCGGAACTATTCCTTTTCACAATTTCCAGAGGAGAAGTAATGTGTAACCAATCCTGTAAAGGTCCCCACACCCGCCTTAGTGGAGGCGGCAGCTCCCAGTACACCCGCACTCTGTGAGGCAGCGAACCAACCACCGGCGGCTGTGAATGGAGTCTGAAAATGATAAAGATTGAAATTCATATATTACCCTTATAAATGTTATATCTTTATAATGCTAGACCAATTTTAGACCCATACTTAAAATATGCATTCGTTGCACACGTGGCGCAGTGGTTAGAGCGTTTACTCTAGAGTCGCGGAGTAAGTTGATTCTTAGGTCGCGAGTTCAAATCCCACTGTGGGACGTGAAGACCGGTCTTTCCGTTGAGACCGCGACGGTATAAAACGAGGTCTCGTGTCGCAGTAGGTGCTGGCACAAAAAAACCCTCACTGCTCAAAGGCATTAAGTGTTGAGTACAGGTCCAAATTTGCAGTCCTCTACTGACAAGAGCTGGCCTCTCAATATGAGTGAAAAGTTCTCAAAGGGAAGTTAAACAAACAAACAAACAATGTTCAATCAGGTCAATACTTGGAAAGCAGTAAGAAAAAAAAACATTGAATTATTTCTTTGTGTTACGTGTAAAAATGAATGGAAGTGTCAGAAGTTATACGCTTAGACATTAAATTAACAGAAGCGACCGAGAAAGACTCAAACCCATCATTAAGTGCAGTCAGGGGTGTGCAATTAAAAAAATCAAGTACTAGCCCACGGGCTAGTGGCAGCAATAAAGTTACTAGCCCCAAGTAAAAAGTTACTAGCCCAGATGAGGTGGTGGTGGTGGTGGGGGGGGGGGGGGGAGTAACAACTAATATTAAAAAAAAATATATTCAGGGTTTTAAAGTCATTTTTTTTTTCAAATTAAAGTTTAATTTTCAATAATAAAATTGAATCATGTATAAATTAATTATTATGATAGAAAAATAAAAATGAATTAAAATATTGAATTATTTTTCCTTTTTCTGTGCATTGCACTAGCTTACTAGCTCAGAGCTAGTAAGCTAGTGCAAACAACTAAAACGAAGTGAAATCATTTTTTTTCATCTTAAATTATTAAAAACACTTGAAATATATTTTACGTAAATCACATAACACTTATCTTTCAGATGATTGAGTGATCGTAAATAATTTAATGAGATATCTGCCTTTATTTACCATTAACACATGAATGGAGGAAATTCGGATTAGAAAAAAAACGATCGTTTTTGGAAGTAATAATTCAGGTAGTGCTGCAAAGTGGATAATATTATGGAGATTTACGAACAATTGGAGCATGCTGCCTGGAAACTTTTCATTGGTTGGGAATTTAATAGCAAAAAATGAGTGAAAATATCGGTAGTGATTTTTTTATATTATACATCGGTATTTTTCATTTTTTACTAGCCCAAGGGGCTACCTGCATGCAGAAAACCACTAGCCCGACCCCAAAAAATGATAGCCCCGGGCGTCGGGCGATGCTAATTGCACACCCCTGACAGTGCAGTCATCCTTTCATGACATTTTTGGTAAGTTTAAAAAAATAATTTGATTAAATACGTAATATTGCATGTAAACACAAAACAACTTCAAATGAAAACTGGAATTTAATACCAGTACAACAGTCTTTCTTTTTGGAGGATTTGAACACAATACTGAAAAAAAAAATGTGTGCATGCTGGATGCTGTTTGGGGGGGGGGGGGGCACATACAACCGGTCATTCAGTGAAAATTTCATTAACAATTATTTAACAATTTATTAACAGCAACAGATATTTTCTTAACAGAACCCCCCCCCCTCCCCAACCTTACATGTTCTATACGTGCCTGTTTATTATTTTTTTTATTTGTAGACGGAAGACTTCACTTCGATGTAGTATATTTATTATCTGAGGGATTAAAAAGTTATATGTTTTTTTTCAATTTACTCTATCTTAACATATAACATGCATTGAATTTCATTTACTTAATTGCTTAATTAATTGCTTGTGACATTAACATGATTAAAGTAGGACGCCGAATCCACCCCTGCCCTTTTTTTTTTTTTTTTTTTTTTTTTTTTTTTTTTTTGCCATCGCGGGAAATTATACGTGTTTCATCTTTTTATAAATGTACATGTATTCAATTCTATGTAACACGATTATGTTTCCAAATCAAGCGCGTAGCCAGAATGGAAGTGAAGTGTTCGGCAGGGGGTCTTGAGGCCGCCGTGAGGCCGTCAGTAGGTCCAGGCAAGCCTGGTGGAGGCCCAAGGGGCGAAGCCCCCGGAAGCTCCTGGGTTTTACCAAATATTAAATTTATTTTCTTGCGAAAGAATTCATGCCATTTCGCTTTTCTTTAGAAAATGAAAAACTTGGAAATATTATTTTTAACGAAAAGTTTTGACTTCTATTGAAACTTACTGTGCGTGTATAGTATTTCACAGATATACACCTGTATTGGTATCGTCTATTCATTTTTAATGTTCAGCAACAAGTATAATAAATGTTACCAACAAAAATAATATTTTATTTCAAATCATCAGGGTTGTCCCTAAGACCCGGGGGTCGGGGAATTTCCCCGTCTATAATGATGTGATCCCCCGGTTATTTTGGTATGCCTCCTAAATTCCCCATTAGGGGAGGAAACCCAGATCTCCTTATACTTTTTACATGTAAATGTCCCCTTCTATTTCAATTCTTAGGGACAACCCCGAATCATATACAAATGGGTCATAGAATTGAAATTTAATATCTCAAAGATCTTTTTTAAATATCAATGTGTTATAAGACAATTAAAAATTAATGAATGCTTTGAGTTGGCAATGATTTGATAAAGGATTTCAAAATTTATTATATAGGCATGATATATTATAAAATTTGAATCGACACAAAATAATTTAATGCATAAATATTTGCTGGATGGTACTGAGATTTTTTTCTCCGAATAAATTTTCTTTTTGTTTGATTGTTTGTTTGTTTAATTTTTTTTTGTTGTTCTTTTTTTTATCTTGTTTTGTTTTGTTTTTTTTTAAAAATGATTTGTAGCACTTGGTATTTGCGTACAGGCAGCTATGCAACTATGCAGCTAATCCAAAACGTTCTTTTACCTGGAGCCAGGCGGCCAAGCTTCCAGCCGCTACCCCGGCCGCCGTAAAACCTGCCCCAGCCAAAACCGCTGGAACGCCCACCACAGCCGCTGCTGTCCCGACCCCCACAGCAAGGATGGTTTTTCCGGATACCGTGCTCGCTAAAAATGAAAAAAAAAAATGAAAAATAAATGACCTATAATTTCTGACAAAACAAACTGATGATGATCACTCATTTTCATCTCCGGTGCACGAAAGCGTTCATACTTATCTTTTCTCTGCACGGTTCTTTAAAGTGGCTAGTATATAAAATAATAAATTATTTTCTTCCAGACGTATATTTTTCTACGGTACCTTCCTGGCAATCCGGAATTCCACGGTTCCATTCTCGTCCACCACGTACAGGTCGGAGAACATGGCAGTCTGACGGTTCAAAACCATCGAAACATCTCAAAATACACCGCTCTCTATACGAATCCTTATCCCAATAGCCATTCTCAGGATTATCTATGGATATAAATACAATGAATATATTATTATTCAATTAAATACAGTCATTGTGTTTTTAGAAGGTCGTACACGTTGAGGGATTTTAATAATTGATTCATTCGTACGAGTCGCTGAGAATACTACGCAGTCCTTTAAACACTTATCTTATTTTGGCCAATAAAAAAATGGATTGAAAATTTAAAAAAAATCATGTGAAATATTAAGTGCCATAGAAAAATATTCAATATCTCGCGATAAAGCATAAGTTTTAAGAGGTATTATATTTTCGGATCTACTTCTACTTTAAATACAAGGCCAAGCAGATATATAAAATATCTTAAGACTCTTTTGATTTTAATTGCTGATATGGCTTGCTACCAAATTTAAATTTTCCTTTTTTCACAACTTAAATGAAGTTCAAAAGGAATAATTATTAACGTTTGAGCTATATTATGTGCGTGTAAAATTAAGTAAAACAAGATTTTTTCCTAGACATTCTGATCTAACTAAAAGTTTTTGTAGAGACTTTGTTCAGTTATGACACTAAATGTCTTGCTTTGTTTTCAGGTGGCTGAAACTCCAAATGCACCTTTAACAAGTGTCGACAGTTTCTTCCTAAATACGGGTCCGTAGGATGTTGTTCTTGTTGTTGGGGGAGGGGGGATACGAAGCAAAAATCCGAGACAAAAAAAGGAAGGAAAGTTCATCGGACTTTTTTTTTATTGAGGTGGCACAAGCATAAAGAAGCAATGTTTTCTATCGTGTACTATAAATCGGATAAACTATGGGGGGGGGGGGGGGGGAGGGTATTTTCTACGGACAACGGCCAAGGAATCCAACATCGATTTTTAATATATTTTTACTAGGCATGACTAGGAGATCAAAATGGATTAATTTATATCCTTTTTAAATGTATTTCCAGGATAATTTTAGATTTGTATCGAAAATTCTGGTTCAATATTCATCCATGTTCCTTTCTAGTAACTTTTCGACTTTCTTTTCATGGAAAGAAAAAAACGAAAGTAAAAAAAAAAATTCCATTAAATCTGTCGGTTACGTAGTAAATTATTTTAAAACATAACACTGCACATTGAATTCAGTCAATTTTCTATTTTTTCAGCGAAAAAGAAAATTCGATAGTATAATGTCTCAAAATTACTTAACGTCTGATCAATATTGCCAGTTAATGGTTTTCTTTTGGGGGTAATTTCAATGTTATGTATCCTTCAAAGGATGCAATATTGATTTTAAACATACCAAACACTTACTGGGACATTGAAAACAATGTATCCCTGCGATTAGTCCTAAACACAGGACCCATGACAAAAGTTTAAACAAACCTTCCGCCATTTTTGCATCAACAAAGCAAGCGGTTGAACTGAAAATTATGGTGGAATATTCCTGCCATCACTTATTAGATGTCAGATGTTTATGTATACTTTTCAGATATTTTTATTTTCCCTAGGGTTGTATGGAGGGTAATCGTGTTCAAAAATCCAGACTTGTAAGTTTGTAAATCCAAACTTGTAAGTTTGTAAATCCAAACTTGTAATCGTATCAGTTTCATAGTATATATGTAAGTAGGTAATTCCGACATCCTAGCATGTAGTTCCGAACATACAACTGTGTTGACTTTGAGTTTATACTATGAATGTGTGTATTTTTGATGTTGTAAGCTTTGTTTTCCGGAATTTATATTTCCGCGCTCTGAATAAGTCTACAAATGTAAAGTCTACATGTATGATTGTCGAATTTTGATTATGTGAAATTATGGAGGGGAATCAGTGCCATATTTTTTCCCTTCTTTTTATTCTAACTTTTTTTTCCAACTGAAATAAATTATTTAAATTTTATTCCTTTTTTTATTCTAACTTCCAATTTTATATTAATATTTTCATTTGAATTTGTTATTCAATTTCAATTCTAACTTTTTGTTTATATGTTCCAATTTTATGTTATCTTCTTAATTTTATTTTATTTGACGATGTGACATGAATCATTACCCGCTTATTCACGGCTTGTGCGGATCTAGAGAGGCTTCGATTTTTAAGGTTATTCAATTTGACTTTCTATGCTGAAGGAATAGTCATTACAACACGTATGTTAAACGTCTTACATTTTGCCGGCCGGCACTAGGAACTTAGGACAAGCGAACTCTTACCCTCCAATGGCCTACGAAGCTAGCGCCCAACCACTAGGTTGCTGTGATCAGTGCCCCAGTTTATTAAGAACCAATGTAACTGCAATGATATTATACTAAAAAAAATAAACCACTCAGTAGATGAAGATCCGTATCAATGTTTATCGAAGTGGGGGGGGGGGGATTCCAAAAAAATTGACGATGAAAAAAAAATAAATAAACTGCCCAAACTCCTCCTTCGTGGGAGGCGATGTTTAGGATATCTTTAACTTTTCAGTAACTTTTTTTTCAACGCAAGAATTTGCCAGAGTTTAATGGTACTGCAAAATAAGGGGGATGGGGGGTGGGCATACAGCCTATAAATGAATTTTCATATTAAAACAGCTGCAAAAGATTATTCTCCACACAAAAAAGTTGGGAGCCCAACCTTTTGATCCCTCCTACTTCGGACCTGAGATTTGTTAGTGAAAATTTTTTTCTCTGTCCTACTTTAAAAAAATAATGTGATGACAATATCAATTTAAAGATACCTAATATTTGTGTACCATAAGCGGGCAATCAAAATGGCTGTCATATTTATCATATTTGAAACATCTTGCACCAGGGCCATAAAACTTAGACGGGCTCATTTTTTATCACAGTCTCACATTTACCAAAGGAATTAATAGTATGTAGAAAAGAGAGACTGGGATCAAAAGTGAGCTCATCTAAGTTTTATGGCCCCGAACCAGGTCCGTTGGTAGCAAGTGTGTGAGGGTGCCAATATATACTATACCAATAAAAAAGCAATTTCTGATTGTGATCCCTCAATAATTTTGTCGGTAATAAATATACAAGAAAAGAAATAAGGCTAATTCATCGTTGTGCACCCTCAACAGGAATGTTTCATTTTTTTTTGGGGGGGGGGGGGGGCTTATCAAGAAATTTTTGTTTTGTGCCCACTGTTCCACCTCCACCCCCACCCAATGAAAATGCTTCCTACGGGCCTGAAAACGAGAGAAAACACGCAAGAATGATATCATATGGTTTTTAAAATGAAAAAAAATATGTTCCATGGAAATGTTTCTACGTTTCGTACGTTTCGTACTGTTCGCCAAGATCTCTGTGTACCTGTACATAAAAGGCCGTAGCGCCCCTTTTCGTTTAAATTTTATTCGGATTTCTTAGTTTAACTCTGTAAGTTCTACTTTCTTAAACAAACTTTCGATTTTGCTTATAGTTGTTACCAAAAAAAAAAATTATGCATTTAGTTAGGTGAAGTGAAACATAATTGAAATTTTGAGATAGAATCAAAATACGAAAGGAATCAAAATTGCCATAATAAAATGAATAAAATATAATAAAACTGGAAAATATAAACAAGAACAGACAAGGATCCAGGGGGTCCATACCAGTCCAAAACAATCCAACCCAGAAATTTCTTGACAAGCAAAAAAAAAAGTAAACTCCTTTCCCAACCATGAAAAACCTATTTCGCCCACGCTCGTGTGTGTGTGTTGGGGGGAAGGGGGGGGGGGAGTCGTCAACTTAACACAGATCAGCGTTTTCAAAAGGGGTCCAATGTCACTTTTAGTTCGTTTAGTATAAACATTTAATAAGTCTGCAAATTTCGGGGGGGGGGGGGGTCCGGGCCCCCTTCTAGATCCGTGCCTTCAAGAAGTAAGAATTAAAATAAGAAATAAAATGAAGAATTTAATTTGGGAAAAAAAAAGAAAAAGAAAATAAGATCATTAAAAATAATTGTGGCACTGATGACCCTCCATAGGTTCTCATTATCAAAATTCGACAATCATGTAGACTTTACATTTGTAGACTTGTCAAAGGTCTTTGTGTTTTATTCAGAGCGTGGAAATATAAATTCCGGAAAACAAAGCTTACAACATCAAAAATACACACATTCATAGTATAAACTCAAAGTCAACAAAGTTGTATGTTCGGAACTACATGCTAGGATGTCGGAATTACCTACTTACATATGTAGACTATGAAACTGATACGATTACAAGTTTGGATTTACAAACTTACAAGTTTGGATGTACAAACTTACAAGTCTGGATTTTTGAACACGATTACCCTCCATAGGGTTGAAACGTCACACATTCATTGGCTTAACGCGACACGTGACTGCCGGCTATATTTCTAAGTCCGGCTGGTGAGAATAAATATCTGGTAATAAATGTTGCGTTTTATTTCGATATTAGAAATAATTTATTACAAAACCACTTTCCATAATGTTTTCGCACTGGCCCTTTTAAGAAATGACGTCACTGTATCATTGCTCAATAATTTTGCCGATATATAAAATACTATAGAAAATATAGCTGCTATATGCTTGTGCCTCCTCAATAATAACGTTTTTTATAGTGCCCCCTCAACTAAAATTGTATGGTTGTGCCCCTCAAAGTGAAATTGCTTCCTACGGGTCTGAAACGATTAAGATTACTTGACCGTAAAAGGTTAAATTGATAGAAGCTAGATTGATAATTATGAAGACTTTGACAGTGTGAAATTGGACGATGCTGATGATAGTCGAGATGTTGGGACCTTTATGAATTTTGATGAATTTTAAATTAAAATATGCAGAGTTATTTTGATTATCACTTCTTGCAAGCTTGTTGTACTACGGTGGTCGGGAGGGGGTGGGTCCCATTATTTTCACAAAAGCTTTTTGCTTCTCCCCCCCTCTCCCCACCCCTTAACACACACCTTTTTGTTGCAGCCGGATCGAAAGTGTGCCATATGATATTATTGCATTAGAAAATTTCCCGACAATTTAGAGGAAGATTCTAACTACTCCCGAGTTTTAGCAGTCAATGTTTTTTTTCTTCTTTTTTGTAATTTTTTGGTTGGTTGCCACCCTCACCCCCTCCCCCATCTGTTGTTAAACGTTGCTACGGACCTGTCTAGTGTTTATGTCTCTCACACAATGATCCTCGAGAAAATAAAACATTTATTACCTAGGTTTGTTACTGACTGTCTACTGAAATATATCGGGTTGATCAATCTCATAGATGGCTCTGCTCCGCCTTGCCATTTATGAGATCGATCAACCTGATATATTTCTGTAGACAGTCAGTAACAAACCTAATAAATAGTAATGTCGACTTGTCAGATCTCTATGTCGACTTGTCATTAATTCACGTGTATACAAATTTAACATGAAAACGTGTCCATGCTCAGTTTGCCAAGATGTCAGATAATTATTTTGACTTGTTAGAAAATTATGTCGATTTTTCAAATAGTAAAGCTGATTTGTCAGAAAATAATGTTAAAATGTCAGATATCATGATGACAAGTAATTGTCAGTTAGTGACATAAAGGCACTTTAATAACAAGAAACTGAGTTCCTAGTGATAATGGTTATTATCTGACAAGTTGACATAAAGACCTGACAAGTTGACGTAGTTATCTGACAAATCGACATAACCATGTGACAAGTTGACGTACTTATCTGACAAGTCGACATAAGCATGTGACAAGCTCACGTAATTATCTGACAAGCCGATATAAACATCTGACAAGTTGACATAATTATCTGACAAGTCGACTTATACATTTGACGAGTTGACGTAAGTATCTAAAAAGTTGACATAAAGATTTGACAACTCGAAATAAATGTGACAAATCGACATAAACTTCTGACGATCGAGTCGACATAAACTTCAGACAAATTGACGTAATTATCTGAAAAATCGACAAAAACATATGACAAGTCGACATAAACTTTTAACAAATTCACATAATTATCTGACAATTCGACATACACGTGTGACAAGTTGACATAATTATCTGACAAGTCAACCTTAACATGTGATAAGTCGACATAAACATGTGACAAGTCTACATAAAGACCTGACAGAAATATGCAATCATAGAAAATACAAACGGGTGGATGAATTCAAACAGGATTGAACGATAAAGATTTTTTTTCATCCGCATGTATATTTAAATCAACAATGGATTGTATGTGAGTTTCAAAACAATCGCATATGCCTTTTTTTTCCCCCTCTTTCACCCTTGGAAAGAGTAGGAGAAATTCTGTAAGGAAAGTTTGGAGAATTTTATTTATTCATTTATAATTGCAACAAAAATGAATGAATAAGAAACACAAATTATCATATGAAGTCTCCAAAATCAATATTAATGAAGGCAACATGGATCATAGGTACAAAATGTGACAATACTGTTAAGGAGAAATGAAAACTGAAAAA